CCGATTCGAATTCAATCCATTTACACCCTTAGTCCCACAACACATTCCCACCACGTATTGAAAACATCTCCTGATGATAATACCAGAAGTGATAGTGTCATCATCAGCAAGTGTTCCCAATACATGACGGAGATGTGACGTGGAACATTGTGGGGGGCTGATTTGAACTCGTAAAACAGGGGATAACCCATCCCTAATGCCCATAATCCCCAACTCAAATGAAAACAGGAATTGTTGCAAAGTCTCCCTTAGAACCAGCCAAAGAACTTACTAATTGAACAAATTGACGGCTTTTAATCTTAAACAAATTAGCTTAAGCATTGACAGAACTTTAATATATCCAAAATTGAGACTGAATAAAAAAATAAACTATTGGGCCATTTGACCCTCTAATCACATAAAAAAGAAAGGAAAAAAGAAAAAAAAAAGAAGATCAACAAGTATAAACTAAGTTCTATAATTTATAGGAGTTATTCAGTTACCCCTTCAAATTTCCAAAGGGTCAGCTTTTAATTTAAATATTAAAGTCCAACAGCAAAAGGAAAGGCTTTATTTATTTTTTTTTTAAATTGATGAGCACTGTTGTTGACCATGTTGCCTTTGTCATGAATCCCCCACAGAAACAGAAATGATTTCATTGTTTAGTCTAAACTAATTAGTAATCTATTAACATAGGCTAATATAATAGACTCCATATCTTGTGTGGGGAAGGTTTTCTAAGTATCAAATCCTCGTTCCAGGCGCCTATGTGCACTTACAAAGACTGACAATTCAGCCCCGAAAGGGAAACCCACCATTAATTAAATAATAGTTTGCTTAGTAAAGCATATGAAAGCTGAATGCTAGCCATTCGTTCTTTTGTTCATACAGTTTAAAGGATAAATTAATAAAGAATTTGAATGATATATAGATGGAGGAATTAAATTTTGAAATGGCCGTGTTCTCATGTGAGTTGGTCTTGGATTCTTGGGTTGGGACCAGATTATCTCGTAAAGGGGTCAAGATACTTTGCCATGTGTCTTATTTTGAGGAAATAATCGTATGGATCTATTAGGAATGGCAACGGGCAGGGATCATATTTTATCCCTATTCTCGATTTTTAAGTAATTTTTTATCCTTATTCTCGTTCCCTTATAGAAAGAAGGATCAATCTTCATCCCCACTTCTTATCTGATATGGTTTTTTTCATTAGGGATGTTTTTTTTTTTTTGATAGATAAAAGATATTAGGGACTGGAATCCCTGAATTCTTCTTTTATTTAAAAAGCTTGCTTTGGGAAAAAATTACTTAAAAAAGAGAAAAATCATTAATCTAAATTGATTTAACACTTACCTAACATCATTAATCGCCATGATAACATAGAAATAGAAATTGAAATTTACTCAATATATATGATATAAAAAATACGGAAAAGTACAGATAGGCCCAATGCAGATTTCTGATTTCCACTGCAGAGCTATAAACATTCAAAATGTCAAAAACCCACACTCTATATGAATTGGCATCAATTCCAAGTACTTTGGGCCTAAAAGTTCTGACCCTGGGCTGAATCGTCATTCTCCCTAAAAAATATTTTAAATGGGGACTTCACTCCCCATCTCTGTCTTTGTCAGATCAATCTCTATCCCAACTCGATTAGGTTAGGGAAGCCGGATCCCTAATGGCAGGGTGGGGACTTCATTCCCCATCTTTCTCTTTGCCCGATCAGTCTCTATCCCAACTTGATCAGGTCAGGAAAACTGGATACCTAGTGAGGATAGAGAAATTTGTCATTCCTAGCCTCTAGGATCCACCACATGGGGGTTCTTATAAATAATCAAGCTTAGCTTAATTAGCTAGACCAAGTATAGCAAATCTCACATCTCCTAATTGTTCTTTGGAGTTTGAATATCAAATTTAACTCTTGTAGATGACTTGGAAGGTGGAACTTCTATCCTCTTGTATAAACTCTCCTTCTCTTGCCTTCTCCCTGCTATGGTGGTTGAAATAGTATGTACGGTTTAGCTACCCACAAATTGAAACATCTATAAGTCATTTCAAATCCATGGAAGACAAGCTCTCCATGTTGTGAATGCCAAGAAACCCCAATACTATCTCTACTACCACTAATTCCACTAACATTCTTAACTAGGTCTGGCATATGGCATCTTGCCCTATGGGAGGTTGGGAGTCAAGGATTAAAATATCGGTATGTCTTTCAAAAATTGGGTATCAGTGTGTATGGATAGAACCAATACCTTTTTATTTTTTATTTTATAATTAGAGAAAATGCCTTTTATCATCCCAAAGTTTTAAAACCCCCAAGCTCCAAATGTGTATCAATGTATTCATGTATATCCAAGTGTGCACTGATACAATCTATCACATTGATACTTTTGATCCTTGATGGGAGCCAAATCTGTATCAATATAAATAAATAATTAGGAGCCAATCGTAGATAGCTACTCATTTGCCATGATTTGATAACAATGTATATATTTGTCTATTTATATGTTTCTTGGTGTTATTATTATAATAACAATTATTGTCATTGTTAAATTATACATGATATATAACCATATTATTGCTATAATAATAATAATAATAATAATAATTGCCATATAAAAAGAGGTTTTCCTACTTGGGTCAATTAGAGAGCTTTAATAACACAAAGCCACTGAGGGGTGTAAGACAAGGTGAGCATAACTTTGACTAGCTTTGCCTATACTTCCCAATCTAAGGTGAGGATCAGGAACTACATTGACAAAGAACTTTGGAGTAATTAAGCAAACTTAGACCCAAATGCATTTAACTTAAAAAACTCTGTTAACATTGATGTTGTACATGTCAGTAGGCGAGGAGAAATTTACAAAGTCACAAGAAAATGTTAGAGGCCCTGGGGGTGGTGTCTTGATCAAAGTCAAGTTAGCACAAGAGTTAAAGAGGAGGGTGAACTCAAAAGAGCTCAATAAATAAGATGGGAGGTGAGCTGAGGTGACTAAAGAGCAATAGAGTAGAGAGAATAAGAATACATAGAGAATGTCTAGAGAGCCATGCCTTCCCGAGGCTCACTTGTTTATATTTATAGGGGAGGGAGCTTGTAGACGTGACAGTAATGAATCTCATGACACCTCCCTAGGTCGGTCTACCTCTTTCGCTCCTAAAAGTCGTAGCATTCTCATGTGGTCAGCCATTAGCCCGCATCCAAGGTTCAAAATATGGATACGTTGGACGAACTGATATTATTATTTTTTTTTTAAACCGGTTCAGGGGTCAGTTTAGGGTTCCTTTACCCCCTGAGCCAGTCAGACCCTCAATACACCCACTATAAGGGCATATCGGTGGGTCCCAGAATGATACATATAGGTCTATATGAGTCAATATATTGATACTTTGAACCTTACCTGCATCAAGCAAATTGGGATCTATTTCTCATAGAGCGTGCCTCACAGCCACATCCCACCCTATATTGAGAACATTTCCCCATGAATAATAATACAAGTATGGAAGATGTTTCCGGTGTGCAGTCAAAATACGCTGTGAGGTCAGTGTGAGGTAAGGTTCAATGTCTCAATACATATCAGCCCGTATTAGCTGATATGTATCATATTAGGAGCTTCCTGATACGTCTCTACAAAGGGTGTATCAAGGTTTTGACCGATTCTGAGCTGGATGGACCTTAAACCGGCCCCTCTGAACCAGATTTGTGTTAATGGCCCAATCAGATCAGATTAAATGTAACAATTGAGCACAGCGTTATGGTTCCGCACGGTGTGCTCATATCATTTGATAAAAAGTTACCAAATTACCCTCCAAGGTGATGCAATTTGTCAAAATTGTCCTCCAAAGTGAGACATGTGACATTTTCTCAATGACACGAATCCTATGACCACATCAAACACCATACTATTTCAAATGAGTGGAGTTTTAGAAAAAGAAAAATCTAATGAATGGATCTTAGCTATAAGAAATATGTAGCTTTTGGTTTCAAGCTCTTAGGCTAATTTCATTAATAAATCATGAAGCTAATAACAAATGTACGTCCTAAAAGTAGGGGTAAGTATGAGCCAGTTCAGTTTAGTTTCATGGCTTTTGGAATTGAAACCTACCTCGTGAAGGTCAGTTCTGGCCTGTTCTTAGTGGTTTCAATGTTGGTTTTAAGGTCTACACATGGAACCTGTTCTTTCTTTACTCTTCCCTTTAAAATAAAATGAAACATTGTTCTTTAAAAATTTGATTTTCAATAATATAATATATAATTTAAAAGTTGCATTATCTCTATTGATTGAATTGAGTAATTTAATATGTAGATTATCATAATATATTAATATATGATTTAAGCCTTATCATAATAATTTAATTTTTGTAAATATTACCTTTTACATTACTTATTATATACATTCAGATATAAAAATGAAAACAAATGATCAAATTATTTAATTAATTCAATGGTTAAGTGAGATCGTGGCCTTTTGTAACCAAGACTGTCTTGAGTTCAAATCTTCACATCCTCAAAAGTATTCAAAATTTATTTCACGGCAAGAACGGTTCAGATAAGTAAGCCAGTTTATTATGTCAGTTTAGGTAAGTAAGCCCTTAGACCCTAGAACCAGTTTGAAGGGATCGGTTCTAAGAATTTGGAAGCAGATCTTAGCCTATAACAGATTGAGTAGGATCGATTTAAGACTAGTTTGGTTCTAGATATAGCCTACCCATATGCTCATCTCCGCCTAAAAGTGAATTGGATTTGTGAATCCTTTTCCACACGTCCTTTCCATTTCCACCCCAATCCAAACACCATGAGCACCAAATATTTGGCATGAACAGAGCCGATGTTGCTTATGCTAAACAATATGAATGGTAAAGCAAAATCATCACTGCGACTCCTACCTGATTCATGCTGGCTTCTGATGAAGAACCTTTAATTTAATCAATGACCCAAATGACAAACATGCTAAATATGGATTTAGATTAGAACTTGGAATCTGACCCTCTCCCTTGGTCCCTTACACAGCCCTCCAGTGTAAAGTGTAAACAACAAGAAAGTACAAAAAAGAACAATCCCTTTTGTTAATAAAGGAATCATTTGTCCAAAACTTCATCTGCTAATGGCCTTCCAAGCTTCAATTCTTTATCTCCAAGTAGCAAGTAGCAGTATTAGGATTATTAAATAAAATACATTAATTGAAGTACACAGTACTTATCTTCTTTCTTGTTTTCTGAGACCCGTACTGCTAACAGACATTTCTCCAACATTCCAGCTACAAATAAGACTTGAGAGCTAGGGCTTAAACCCTTTTAGGTTTAGGGTTCTAAGACAAAAAACTCATGCCGTTTTGACTTGTGTCGTTCCCACTCTCACCTCATTATTCGTTAGTCATTTAACACTGGTTACAGAATTACGACGTGGTCGAAACCCACGAAGGAACCAACCTTTTCCTATCCAAATCTGGGAGCTACAGCACATTTGATTCGGGCCCTCCTTGACAATAACATCTATGGCAAGATTGCAAGTGCCACTTAGATGGGAAAATTCTCCTTCTTAGATCCTGCAAAATGGTAGTAGGTCGGAGATTCCCAAGCAGTCACAATTGCACACTGGTTCCGGACGTCAAAGCTGTAAAAATCAGAAAGGAACACATAGAAATGCAGCGGTAAGCCGGTAACCACACTTCTCTGTTTAATTCTTAATTTAATATATTTATTTCTTGCTCCTTCTCTTGTCAGAATAAAATAATGAATACCCATCATAAGATTCTCGTTAATTTTAAATACTGACATAGAAAAGTTCAGTTTTCCAAGTTTGTAGTTATTTTAATCTATCTTCCGAATTTGGATTCTTATATATTAACCGCTATGCTGTATTCTAGAGCACGCGATTACTGGATGAGAGTGAATGCCCATCTGTTTATTTTTATAATTCGACTACCTTCATAAAAAGATGCAGTTTTGTGGAAGTAAAGGCAACTGCCACTTCTTTTCTCGTTCTCGTTTTCCAAAATTTGTTATCCCTATCTAGCTTTGGAATAAATAAAGGCCTGTGGGTTTGTGAATTTATGCCAGTATCTCAAATTAAATTATTAGCTTCGGATACCCAGAACAAAAAGGTTCCAGTTTTTCTGATGATAACCTTCAGAATCATTTCAAGTTCTACTCTAGAAGACCCATCTCCGTTTGTTAGCCAAGATTCAACGCCTCAGGGCGAAAGCCCAATTTTATCTGGATTGAAAGTGGAGCATATTTGTTTATCACATTTGTTTTATGATTTCATTTGTTCATTCATTTCGTATGTCTTTTCTGGTGTATTGATTTTCTTTAAATTTTTTTTGGTCTTTTAGGCTCTGGGGGTATCACAAGATCATTGTTCACCTCCATCCATCTTAGGAATAACTAAAGGGCTTGTAGAGGATTATGCATTTATACTCATATCTTAAGTCTGAAGTCTTTCAGAATATGGAGAAAGAAAGAGATAGAAGGAGAGCATTTCCTCAATAAATCTAGGAGCTTAGAAGTACTATTTTTCCAGCTCCTTCTGTTCCTTTTCCAATTTTTTTCCTAATTCTGTGTGTTGTTTGTGGGATCATCATCTGAGGGAATTCACTGTGGAACAGAATAAGGTTGGTGCTGTTCTGGCTGTCAACCAAGAAAGGAAACAAAAAGAGATCTGTTCTAGGTGTTGGTGAAGTAGTTTGTTATTGTTTCTTCTTGTAGTTTTTCATTAGTTATTGACTGATTTGATTGCCTGTAAATGAACACTCGAAAGACTCAGTTTCAAGAATTGAACAATGGGTTTGCAAGTGATTATTCTTTTGAATCATTTGGTCGAACCTATGAAAATTTCACTTCTCAGCAGCCTTTGAATATGGGAGCTTGTTTCCAATCTCCTATGCCAGCCTTGGATGGAGGCTCACTACAGCCAAATCTGAGGCCTTCCAATTTAGCTAGCACTATTTCAAGTCATTTTGGACCACCAAATTCTGCTTTTTATGCAACTGAACGTTACATGGGTTTTCCACAATATCAGTATCAAAGTACCCGTCCATGTTTCTCAGAATTGCCAAAGAATTATGAGGAACCTTTTTCTGTTAATTCAGAAAGGTGTGATGACCTCGACCTTCAATCAAGAGATTCTTTACAATCCATTGTGAAACTTCCCTTCTGTAGCAATCAGAATGCTAGATTTTCTGATATTTCCAATCAAAGTTCATATACAAATTTTCCTGGGGTTGAACTTCATCCACTTCTGCCGTCTAAGTTGATGGGTGAAGATGCCACTTTGGACAACAGGAACCCCTCAAATCCTTACAAGAGAAATCAGAATCCTAGAGTGAGTTTTTTTTTTCTTTTTAGTCTTATTATTATGTATATGTTTATTACTGGTAAGAAACTTTGTATTTTTAATGGGCTAATAAGAAACCATTGCCTTGTTAAGTATGGTTTGGCTTGATTGCATTCGTCTCATTTATGCAGATTGGTTACAATCCAGCCACATCTCCACTTGCACAACCAAGTTTACATGTTCAGTCAGAAAAACATGCTCTGAGACCTTCTGGAGGTGTTTCTGTTGCTTCTGGTAGCACTGTTACATCTGGAGCAGCACCATCAAGTAAAACACGGATTAGATGGACTCCAGATCTTCACGAGCGATTTGTTGAATCTGTGAATCGCCTTGGGGGTGCTGAAAGTATGTAGTATGAGATCATATTTGAGGTCAAGAATGTAGAAAATAGTTGACATTTATTTGTTGGGTGAATGCAGAGGCAACTCCAAAAGGGATCCTGAAGTTGATGGATTCTGAAGGATTAACCATCTTCCATGTGAAAAGCCATTTGCAGGTTTTCCATTGCAAAATACAGAACTTTGGTGTTGTATAAATATCAGCTTTTATTTAATTTTCTGATATCTGAGTCAAACCTTTTCATGTGGCTTTCAGAAATATCGAATTGCCAAGTACATACCAGAATCTGCAGAAGGTGAATCCTTGTCACCCATCTCATTGTTGTTGGTAGATTGAGTTGTTTTTTTCCATTATGCTATTTATCTGTTGAACATTGAAAATATCTATGGAGAGAAATGGTAATTGAGTCTTTTTATGTGAATTTTGAAAAGGTTGGATTTACATATTCTCTTTTATGGTGTATTAGATACTTTTGCACATTGATGACAGTTCTATTATTACATGATTCTAACCATTGAATGAACTTAAACCGGATGCAGTTTTCTTATAATTTTATATTTTAGGAAACAAAAATTTCTACACTTAATATTAGATTTTGATTCTCTAGTTCTTGTTTTGAGGGTCAATTACATGCTAGATTGATGTGGCCATGTTGGATGGGAAGGAGAAAGTCCTACTGAGATGAACATAGTGGGAAGAAGAGGGAGAAATTAAGGATTTTAAATATAGGAGAATGATATTCAGATCTGAAATAGAGAAGAAAGATTGCATCTTTTTAAGAATAGATGGATAGATAGATAGATAGATAAAGAGATAGAGATAGGGATAGAGATAGATAGATAGAGAGAAGACAATAAAACACTCTTAACTTCAAACAAACTTTTCATTCAATTAATTGCACTCTTAAATTCCAATTATATAAACTAAATATGATAGCTCAAATCTCCATTTATATATTCTAATATTAACCATGAAACTGACCCAAAACAAATTCTAATTACTTCAAAACAAGACAAACCCATAAGTAACCCATATGGACACTCATACACAATGTTTTCAAAGGCATTTGAGGCATATGCCTGGAGGTGTGGCACACTCAAAATGCCCTGAGGCATATATGCTGGAAGTGTGGATGCCTCTGAGACATGTGCCTCAAATTCCTTTTGAAAGGCATACACCTTTGGTATGTCTCATGTGCCTCATGTGTTTCATTCATGCCTCAAGAAAGAAAGAAGAAAAAAGAAGCAGAAGAAAAGAAAAAAAAAACACAGAAGAGGGGAACCCCTCCTCTTCTTCTTCCTCCTCCTCCTTTTGAGAAGGCTTACACTTCCTTGTGCTCAGGATACTTATGCTTCTTGCATTCTGAGTTACACCTCATACTGTAGTGGAATGCCTCAATCATGCTCATTTTAAAGCTTTTCTCACTTAAGGACTCTAACTTCTAAAATAACACTAATGACACTTTCTAATCCAATACACCAGAAATTACTGAAGTACCAAAGCACCATTTTACTATATGTATTAATTACAGGAATTACTGTAAATGGTAGGTCTGGAATTGTGATAAATATTAATTTTTCTTCTTTTTTACTTAGAATATTAAATTTCTAGAAAACTAATACTTAACTCTATTCCTAAGGCAGTAACAAACTAAAAATATCAAAATTCAAATAGCCCAAAATAATGAAATTGCGATTGGGTGAGAAATTAGGAGAACTCTGATTTCTTTCTCCATGGATTCTTTCCATCATTCCATTCTATTTAGTGCTTTCTTTCCTTGCTTCCATGTCTGCATCATAAATGCTAATGATGGGTTTAGATTAGACTTGATTTTCACTTTGTGATCTTCTGAATTTTGTGTATTCAAGGACCAAAACCCTTATATCTTTTGGGGATTCTTTTCTTTCAGTTAGTAAGATGCAGTTTAGGGAGAATGTCTGTTGAAATATTATCTTTCTTATGGTTTTATTGAATTCTTGGAGAATATTTGAGGCTTTCTTCTATGAATGTGGTGGAAATATTAATTATTTCACCATATGGTTCAGTATTATATTTGATAAGAGTTCTGATACTTGCACCTTTCATTCTATTTTTGATACTGAAACTGAAAGAAACAGGCCAAGTGGAAGGGGCTAGAAGAGCTAGGGGCAGACCAAAAAAGACATGGGTAGAAGTAGTAAGAAATGATTTAACAGTGGATATGGCTTTAAATAGAATGGATTGGTCAAACAGGATTCATTTAGCCGATCCCATATAATTGGGATAAGGCATAAATGATGATGACGATGATGAAACTGAAAGAAACAGGTCAGCAAAAGAAGGAATCAGAACATTTCTTGGAAGTTCCTATCCAAAACAAATGGGCCAACCCTGTCCACATCCATGAAATCAATGTCTTCTGTTACCAAGAACTTTTCTTGAAAGCCTTACACATTTTATCAGAACATTTAGGTCTGCTCCACACTTCCACTACGATAGGAGCAGTCCAAACTGCTATGGACTTTCCTTGTCAGATCCCTGCTGGTTACATGGCACCGCATAATATCAAAGAAGATCTTTTATTTTCTTACTTTTTTAGTCTTGTGTGGCTGGGGGTTTTATTTTTCTTTTTTCATTTTGGTGGACTTGATTACAGGACTCTATGTCCCACTAGGTTCGTCAATGTGGATTCTGGAGTTCTTCAGTGGATCATCTGTTGGAAGTTCTATGGACCAAGTTCATTGTCAATGGCTAGTACTCAAATAAAATAAAAGAAGTTTGATGTTTGGGTATAACATCAATTCATGGGGAAGTTTCATGTATATTATTAGTCCTTTTTTTTGCTTTATCTCATCAAAGAAGTGGTTTAAGATTGTAGATGTCGGTGGTTCGTTGAGGGGTTTGAGTCCATGTGCACTATTCTTTCTGAAACCCGTCAGCCTCATGAGCTCAAAGTTCAAAATATATTTTTCTATTGATATGCCAATCCTTGTGCATCTAATTCTTATCTGGAAGATGATCTTTTCTATTATTATGCTTTTATTCTATGAACTTGTTCTTTGTTTACATGATACATATTACAGGGGGATTAGGGGATGGGGATAGAACCAGGTGCACGTGAGGCACACTGACCTTCAGAGAGCCTACAGTTACATGGGTTTGATCCTGCGTCTCCATTTTTAGAGGAACGCCGAGTGACCATCTCAGCTACTGGGTCATCAGTCTTCTGCGGTTGAGTACTTGTAGTCTTTTGACTAGGATTCAGTTTCAGTGTCTTTAAAGTTAACTACCTTCATTCAGTGTCTGGTATTGGGGGTATATGATGTGTATATGTTTGTATGTCTATCTAGTTTGGCCTCTAATATCGTTTCATTATTAGTTTTTACTCATGCTTGAAAGTTGGGAAGTGTAAAATAGTGATTCCCTGAAATTCCTTTGGTGCACCTCATCATTATCATCCTAGCCTTATTCCAACTATATGGGGTGGACTACATGAATCCTGTTTCACCATTCTGCTCTGTTTAATGTCATATCCATTGTTAAATTATTAGC